ATGAGTGTTATGTCTAAGTAGATTATAGATTTGGATGCTATTAAGCATACAACACCATATAAGTATTCATTTGATATTTATAAAGAAATTCTAATAATCAAAGTTTGGTTGGAAGACAATGGCATGGTATAAGCCTTTGGAATTGGATCCATTATTATTAAAATTATTGTGAAGAATCAAATGAAGAAGATTAGGTTGAACGAAGTCTTACATGTACCAAAGATGAAGAAGAACCTCTTTTTGATGAACAAATTTATATCGCATGGTTGTAAGATTTAATTTGATGACAATGGATGTTTTGTGAAGACATTATGTAGACAAAATATTGCCAAAGGCCTTAGAGATGGCAACCTCTACTTCATCAATTGTAAGAAGGTGAATAGAATAGAAGTGACAGTATTTGTTGATTTTTCATAAGATCAAGACAAATTTGGAATTTGGCATCAACAACTTTGTCATTTGAATGGCAAAAGCATAAAGGGATTCTAATCTATGATAAGTGGCTTGGATCTTGGTTAATTCAGCCATAATACCTTGACACTTATTTTTGAAGGATGTATACAAGACAAACAACAAAAAAATTCATTTCTAAGAAGAGTTATAGTACATACAAGCAAATTGTCAAAAATTATATATTTTGATATTTGTGGACCAATAAAGATATCATTAATTTAAGAAATAATATACTTTTTTAAATTTATTGATGATTTTTCAAAAAAAAAATATAGATTTACATCATTAAAGCTAAGAATGAATGTTTTTCAAGATTTAAGGAATTTAAAAAATTTATAAAAAAATAATAAGAATGCAAGTTCAAAGTATTATGCACGAATAATAGAGGTGAGTATATGTCAAAATATTTTGATGAATTTATAAAGATTCAAGGTGTTACAAGACAATCCTCTACTCCTTATATTCTATAATAAAATAGAGTTGCTGAAAGAGCAAATTGTACCATTGTGGAAATAACAAGGAATATGCTTCATATACAAAACTTTAAGCATGAATATTGAGTAAAAATAATGGTAAATGCACTATATACAAGGAATAAATGTCCAATAAGTGCATTCACATCAATGACTCTATAAAAATATTGAAGTGAAAAGAAACCTTGTATTTCACATATGAAGATTTTTGGATACATTATCTATAAAAAGGTACCAAATTGTATGAAGTTCAAACTTGATACAAAAAGAAAAAAAATTATATTTGTTGGATATTGTGAAGGTATTAATGCATATAGGTTAATGTATAAAAACCAAGAAAATCATCAAGAATCATGATATAGAGTTTTTGAAACATAACAGTGCTTATTAGCACTTGGAAATATGTCCAAAGAGGAATAATAGTATATTTAAAGATACATCTTCAATTTTAGCAAAAGAAGAAGAAGATGATGACATTAATGATGGTAAAAATTTAAATCAACATGAAGAGCCAAAGAAGGTAGATCATATTGTATCTACAATTACTAAAATCAACAATGAAGACTATGAAGATATTGAAGATGATGATGATGATGAGTACCAACCTTTGAATATGAAGAAGCAAGTATGAAGAGAGACAAAGCTTATAAAAAACCTTAGAGTGAAAGAAGTTGAAGGTTTATCAAGTCAAAGGAGATATCTTTTGAAAGATAGAAAATAACTTGGTGTATAGTAGAAGAATTATATCTTTCTTTAGGTAAGTAAAAAATATATCAATATTTCATTCCATGCTAATCTATTAAATTTGTAAGATGCAATGAAGTCCACAAATGCTATGAAAGAAGAAAATACCATAGAAGAAGAGTACAAATCACTCATGGATAATAGAACCTCGGAATTAACTAATTTCTACCAAATCAATATTCAATTAATTATAAGTAGGTGTTTAGAACCAAAAGAGATGCAATAGGAAATATTATGAAATACAAGTCTAGATTTGTTGCCAAAAGCTATTGACAAGTTGTTGGTGTTGATCTCAATGAGATATTTGGTCTCGTGGCCAAATTCACTACCATTACAACCATTGTTGCAATTGGAGCAATAATAGACTTTGGAATGTATCAAATGAATGTAAAGACGGCTTTTTAAAATGAAAATCTAAAAGAAGACATCTACATGGATCAATCTCAAGGATTTGTAGGAGAAAGTAAAAAACATCTTGTTTGTAAGTTGAAGAAAGTTTTGTATGGACTCAAGCAATCTCCAAGGACATTATACCAATAAATTAATACATTCTCTATGAATGAAGGATTTTTAAAGATTGAATCTGATCATTCTTTGTATGCGATGCAATCAATAGAATTCATATTGATTGTCATCTTCTATATTGATCATATAATCATCTTAATCAATACTATGAAGATGATCGATTGGTTGAAGGTAAAGTTAAAAAAAAAATATGAAATGAATGATTTGAAAGAGCTTGACTATTGTTTAGGAGTAGAATTTGTGAGAGATCTTACTAAAAAGACCATTATAATGAGCCAAAGCAACTACATTAAAGAAATGTTGAAATGATTCAATATAGAAGAGTGTAAGCCTATTGGAATACACTTGGATATCAATTTGAAGTTGATGAAGCTCACAAATAAAAATTTTACTGAAATTGAAGGTCAAATGTAAGGTGTTCCATACAAGGCAGTAGTAGATTCATTTATATATGCAATGATTGTTACAAAGATGGATCTTACATAAGCGATGAGTATTGTGAGCCAACACATGTCAAAGGCTGGACCAATCCATTAAACAACCATCAAAAAGATCATGAGGTACTTAAAAGGTACTTTGCATGTCAAATTGTTCCTTAGAGGTGATAAAATTAGTTTGCATAGTTATTATGATGTAGATTGGACTAAAGATGCAAATGATAGAAGTTCAACAACAAGATATGTATTTTTTATTGAAATCGAAGTTATTTTATGAAATTCCAAGAGACAACTAATAATTACAAAATCAATAATGGAAGTTGAGTACATGGCAGTAAGCTATCGTGCAATAGAGGCAATATGACTAAGACAACTTCTAAAAAATATTAGAATATTACAAATGAAAGCAACTCCAATAGAATGTAACAATCAAGGATGTCTTATATTTGCAAAGAATCCAAAGCATCATTCAAAGACCAATATCACAAACATATACATTTACCTCAATAGTTACTTATATGATTAGGTAGAAGTAGGTAAATATAGATTAATTTCATAAAGTCTTCTAGAAAAACTTTTTAGAAGCTTTATAGATGCGGTTTTAACTTTAGATGTATTTATAGGTTAAAAACTTGGTCAACAAGTTAACCACGTGTTGGTAGATTGTAGAACAAGCTAACTCCATATAATAGCTTGTGAAACAAGTTAACTATATGGCGCATACATAAATAACTTGCCTTGCAAGTTAAAATATGTGGTTAGCAAAGTCAATACATGTTGGAAGTCCTATAGAATATCGCCATATAGCTCCTAGTTAGAGAATATATATAGAAGCAAGAGTGAAGCCTTCTTCACTCTTGTCAATGCCTTTTTAATTTTTAATCTTATTTTAAGACTTTCTAGTCTTTTTATTTTTGGCAATAGCCATTCTAGTTTAATATTATATTATCTTTCAATGACTTTCTAGTTCCTTTCAATAATACAAGAGTGTATTGAGGGTTTTCTTTCTTCAAGTTTTATGTCCTTGACAACCAAACACATTGTCATTCAACATTATTTCATGAAAGAGAAGACTGAAATGAGAGTGATTAATATGAAGTATTGTGCAATGGAAGATATGCTTGTTAATTTGTTGACAAAGGCATTAATAAAGGATAGAGATTACATGTTGATAAGCACATTAGTATTAAAAGCCTTTAATCAATAGCAAAATAAAAGTATTAAAGTATATAAGTAAATGTGAAAACAAAATAAGTAACATTATAAAAGATATTACTTTAGATAAGTTGCTATTTGCTAAAGGGTTGGCTTTTGGTATATAAGAAGGCCAAGAGATAAACTAGATGAACAAACAAAGGATCTTAAGAGTATAAAAAATATATTAAAGATATATTTTTATAGTAGATAAGATAACAATGAATAATTTTGATAGAATTTTGGATGGATGTATTCATCAAAAGATGAAAATTGTCCATTAAGACAACAGCGACTACCTATAAATAATGAGTGTTAGAAGTAAGAGATATCTTACTCCATACTCTCTTTGTATGCAACCTTGCTAATGCTAAGTGTTGTAACTTCATAGTACTTGTCCTATAATAGGTTTCTCAAATCAATACTTATTTAAGCCTCTTCTACTATCTTCTACCCTGAGATTACACAAGACAGTGTTTTTTTCTGTTTTTTTACTTTTTTACTTGCTACTTCTCATTTGGAGCCTACAGCACTACATCAAATCAAAATATCATAGAAAGAACACCTACTACAAAAAAATGTAATCCAATGAGGTTGTTTAAATACTAGCCGAATTGTACAAATTCTGTGATTTGAATCAAAAAATGAACAACCTAATGTCTACTTTTTTGGCTAGAGGCACTAATTTTGAGAGGAGATGGAAAAGTATGACAAGTCCCCTTCATACTTGGTCATAAACTACTTTGTGGATGTCGATGAGCAGAAAAATAGTATAAGAATGTACCCTTTAAAGAACCACACTCACCTCGGGAGTGAGACGGGTTGAATACTGCGAGGAAAACCTACAGATGCTGGTAAAACGAGTAAAGCTGGCCTCTGCTCGGTTCTTTGTAAGATGCAAAATCTTGGTCGCAGAAGTGGAGATTAGTCCTCAAACTCGGTCTTTGTCCTAGTACTCTGTCCCAAGGCCAGTACTCTGGGTCACTTGGGCACGACTTGATCTCTATTCATTAATCCCCGACTGCAGACTGCGCCATGTACTTCTTCCCAAATATTTTCCTCTGCATTTTCTTACTGGTATGACGTCTCATAATGCCAGTTGTCACGAAGAATTCGCTGCTGGCGGATTGCTTCACCGACCTAAGCTTCCGATCCCATGACATAAACACAGTGATATGGCACTGGACAAAATGTGTGGCATCATAAAAAATCTCATGGATACGCTTACAATCATTTTCACAGAATACAGTGTACGATGGTAAGCCACACCTAAAACACTGTTTCTCTGAAATGGAGTCGATTCGATCGAACGCTCATCAACAGAACTAATTTAAGCTTGTGTACGTGCCTGATTGGGAGAAAAATATTCAAGTGCTGCTCCCTGGATGATTACTTTACTCCAATGTAAAGTTGGTTACTTTTTGCGAAGCTCGTTGGGAACTTTTGCTGTCGGACTAAACGTAAACCCTAATTTTTACCTCTGTATGTTATTACAAGGTGGTGATAGATGCGAGGATTATCTTTTCCACGAAGTTTGAGCTTCGCGAGCATGGATCAAGGTTTCGTATCAAACCTAGGCTCAAATATGAGTCCTCGCAGGAGCTCCTCCAGAGTGCCAAAATTTGAACTAATTTGCGGTAAAATGCTCCACCGACATGTCTCCTTGTTAAAAACGATGAGTTTGTGCGGATCCTCATCCTCGAACTGGGGCAAGAAGCAGCGCGGCTCTGACCCTACGAGCAAGACGACATCTTCCGAAATGTACAGATCAGTTCTCTCATACTTGTGCAACTGTTTGGGGAGCACGCAGACGCGCTTCCACTCTGTCTCCAGCCTCTGCCAGATGCCTTCCCTGCGTGGCGCGTTGCTGCACATGAACAGGCCCCCTTTGCTTTCAAGAATCCAGCACTTATCCTCATCGCGGCTCAGGAAACCGCTCTTCTGGAGCGCATATGGGTACATGATGCGCATGATGCTCTTGGAGCGCATATCGATGGTGGCGAGGCCAAGGTAGTCATCTTCCTTGAAGAAATTGTAGTAGGATGTGAGCTGTGGGGGATGGTCAGTAGATGTCCAAGTGTTGGATCCAGACTCGTATATCTCAATGGTCATGGCGCCTGTGTCCTCACATAATCCAACGAGGGTGATAGAGTACTGGTCCAGGAGGTAGGACATGTGGGTGAGAGTGGGAAAATCGCAGAGGTTGAGATTTGGCGGCAGTAAGCGCCATGTTCTCATCAGGGGATTGCTGACAATGAGTTTCAGTTTGCCGCCATGGCTGGTCTGGGAAATGTAACACAGTAGCCCGCCTGCAGCGGCAAATGGACCTTTGAACACGAGAGATGACGGGAAATGACCGAGATTAAACTTGCACCATTCCTGCGCTGGAGTATCAAAGACCCAGACCTCGTGCTGTTCCGAAGCGAGGTCTTGTCCGCCTCTCAAGAGAGCGAAGCGGCCCGTCTTCTTGCTGTTCACTCCATTAGAAAAAAAATCAGTTGACTTCCACAGCTTATTAAGGCTGCGAATGCGAGTGAGGTTCTTGAGAGACAGCTTCGAGAACACGGAGTGCAGGATGCTCTCAGGCAAGTTGCTCCAAATGGCAGGGTGAAGAACCGCGCCGCCGTCAAGCTGAGAGTCCGAGATCCGAGGTGGTTGAGCATCGGGATTGAGCAAAGGCTCTGATCCGCATCCAGAAAAAATGTTATGGAAATTCACACCCTGGTGCGCCAAACTCATCGGCATGACGATCGAGCTTCAAAAAGCCACACGAGCGCTGTCACATAAATCTTCAAACACACACGTCTTCTGAAACAAAACCTCTGCACAACCGAAACAATCAATACAAGCTTGAGCAACCCAAAACCATCCCCCGAAATTAAACACAGCAGCTGGACACAAGCTGTCCTCACCAATGTCGTCCCAAATATCACTCAAACCCGGGTATCGTCGACACAACCAATGCAACGCCCGCTGCACTTTCTCACAACAACTCCAATACTCTACCACGACACTGCAAACGCTCACCACTGATCATTGCCATCAACAGGACCATTCTCACAAACATACACACACACGTAAGGGCTAAAAGTCGGACATGGAGCTGAAAAAACACACCAACGGCAACGATGAGTCGAAAACTGCAGCAGCAGCAGCAGCAGTAGCAGCAATCACCTTGGCCGATCCACCGAAGCCCTTGACAGAGTTCCATCCCACCTCCACGTCGGTGCTTAAAACCAGTTAAGACACAGTCATAATCGTCGATAAATCTCGTCACTGAATCCGAATTTTCACCAGGGACAAGGCGAGGTGCCGCCTGATGAGACGCACCTCACCCGGTGGCATGAATTCCCAAGCAGTTGCCTACTCCAGGGTGCCGCCAATCTTGGCCCTTGGCCCATCTGTGAGGGGAGTTGGTCACACAGGAAGACGACACTCACTCCTCTGTGAGCATGAGTTGGTGTGCGTTTGCTGCCCCTCTCTACTTGAGATGCAAACTCCCAGTTTGCTTCTATGGGGCCCTACCCATCTTGCTGTACCTTCAAATACTCATGTGGGTTTTTACGCCCTTGGTTTTTTATTTTCTCACAGTGGAGTCTGTCCATGTGCTCAAACCCCAGTGTGATTGAACTTTTCATGGGTGCACAGCACTTTTTTGGGTGTGTTTTTTGGCCCCCCCATAGTTTTCATTGTGCATGAATGCATGTTTTGGATGAGCCCTTTTGACAACTACTACTGAAAAGAGTGGGGTCTGCAGATGATGGGTGCTTCCATGGCCGTTTTTGTGCTCTGGTTTCTGGTGAAATTGGCAAAGGAAAGGGCTTTGTGCTTGAAATGAGGAAGTACTATGTGACCATGTTAAATGTATGGTGTATTGTTGCAGGGCTCATGCTCACGTTTTGGTGTTTGATGAGGTGATTTTAGCATACAAAAGTCCATGTAGTTATAGAAGTTAATACTATGTTGTGAGTTCTGGATTCATTTACTGATGGCTATTGTACAAGTATAAACTTTCACTGTGACCACTCACTGGAGTGCAGATGTTGGGAGTAGCCCTGGTAATGGATTCCCAACTTTGGAGTTGGATTTTGTAGATCAAAGAAAATAAAAGAAAATGACATTCATATTTTGCATTTTCTTTCCACACAATAATTGTAGGTTGAAAACATTTTTCCCTTTTAATAATTAGATAGACTGATTTTTATTTTTTTTTATTTTTTTCAAAAGCACATGAATTATATATGTTTTTCATATGAATCAACTAAAAATGAAGTTACAAGTTTGCATAATTTCAAACTTTTTTTTGATCGATTCACCTTTAGCACTTTTTTTCCAAATTGTAATATGCTTGATTAAAAAATGAAAATATTAAATAATATAAAATAAACTCAAAACATGTTAATCAATATTTTGGAGCTATTAACAATATTTATAGTTAAATTATATTAACTAAAAAAAATCATTTAGTAGATGTCATTATCAATTTGAAGCTCAACATAATTTTATTTTATATATATACATACATACATACATAGTTCTTTAATAATCTTATTTTTAAGTTATCCAAACATTTTATTTATACAAGTGTAAATCTGACTAAGTTTATTCATTAATATTAACAATAATCAGATGCCAAGTGAATGGCAATCTTGGTTGGACCTGAGCTAAGGGTTAGATTTTAGTCTTAAGTATAAATATGAAGTAATAATTTTTTTTCTCACATTCAAATTCACTACGTTTACTCCAAACAAACTACGAAATTATTAATCATAGCTTTTATACACATACATATGATTCCTTTTTTTAATTCTAAAAAGATGTGATCATTTTAAATCTCTCATATTGAGGTGTTGAATTCCCCCAATAAATTGCATTATTAAACTCCCATGATATAGAAACACACTTCTTATATTGATTTACACCATTTGTTTTTGCAATTCTAACAGTCCACGTGTTCTTCCCTTCAGTGAGACAATGGTCTCACTTTCAATGGATTTACATACCCATGCGGGAATACGACCACTCGGAGACCCAGTTTCCTCACGGTCACCCGTCACCGTGGATCACGGAGGATGACGGCCACGGTTGGCGACATTTGAAGCTCGTCGTCGAATATTTTTGTCCTTCGATGCTGCCATGGCTAGCTTTGGCGATGCTTAATTTTCTCACTTGGTTGTCCTAGAAATCTGTTTTTGAATTCCCTTCTGCTTCAATTTCAAACGCGTGTTATATCGGTAGAGAACTTTCACAAAATGCAGTAGAATTGAAGCGATTAGTACCTGGAATTGTGCCACAATTTGAGAGGTTGATTGCAGTTTGATTGCAAATGTTGTGTGAGATGGATCGATGGAGTGCTTTATCAGCTGAATGAATTACCTCGTTTCGCAGGGTGAAGATTTGACAGCTGGAGAATCAAATACTGGCGATTCAAGTGCTCGAAATGCTCGAAACTTCACCGATTTCCCTGGTTCTCTTACCGGTATGAGTGGTGTGGTTTAAGCAGCTTCGTCTTTCACTAGGTATGAGACTTGTAAGGATCACGGAGTATCTCAAGTGTTGATTACGATCAGTTTTGGTGGTGTGCACTGTGGTGTTGTTTCTTCTGGCATTGATGAGTTGTTTAAGGACTTAATTCTATCTTTTTTGGCTGTTTAGTAATTGCTGTGGTATTTGATTCGTGTGCAATGGAGTTTGCAGAAGCAAGATCCGCCTCGCAACCAACGGCCTCCGCCTTACGGTCTTACAATCTCTGTAAGATCATTAGGTGGACATGGCTGTGGTATCATCATTAATGCTGGCGCCCTCCTTAACCAATGTACATCGGGCTCCAGCCCCTTTTAGGTATGGTCTTGCTTCTAGTGGTTTGCCAAGCTTAATTGCTGTAGAGATAGTTTCGGCAGCATCGTAGGCTGCCTGTTTGATGTATGGTACCATATAACACCAATTTTTTTGTTTCCTTGTTGAGCTTCTAGTTACGAGTATCATGGAACTAAGAAGGCATCGGTCGTGGTGCGATGCACGCTTCAAAATTCTGTACAATCCGCTGCAGTGGCGACGACGGCTGCTGCTTTGTTAATATTTGTTCCTATGGGCGAGGTGAGTACCGTAGCTTACCATGTTTAGCCTATTTTTTCTTGCTGTTTATCTACATTGCCGAGAACCTTTCCTATGCCAAACATATTAGTACTGAGAGACATTCCAGAAAAGAGATCTTATGACCCGTTTCTAATTTTCACATTTTATCGTATTTGACGAGAATTATAACTATTTAGTGCCCCTTTATCCTCGCCACTGTCCTGCAATTTTATCACATGTGCGTGCTTGCTGCTAAGTAGTGGCTCTTTTAGTTGAGAACTTATTGATGCTTTTACTTCACAAAAGCACAGTTTTTTCCTCGTGCACAATTGCACCCGTGAAACTCTCGCAGGATGAGAGAGTGGATGATGATTTTTTTTTTTTTTTTTTTTTTTTTTCTGTTTTACTCTTTGTGTACAATCGTGTTCATTATGATCTCTTGCGACAGGTATCACTTGCACAGCCAAAACCGAACGGTGGAAGCATGTGTGAGATCGCGGCGGATCTCGATGCAAGCGGAATTCTGAATCTGAACGCAGGCTCTGAGGGCGATGATGCAGGCGGTCCTCTAATAATGTCGGCAGGAATGACTATGAAGAACTTCAACCCTGCTCGCTATTCTGGTCGTTGGTATGAAGTTGCGTCTCTGAAACTCGGGTTTGCTGGACAGGGTCAACAAGACTGTCATTGCACACAGGTATGGCGCTGATGCTAGTCTAGTAATCATGGCACAAGAACAGTACAATTGAACAGTGATACGTATGCGTTATTCCTTCTTATTTCTTTGGAAGTCGGACATTTATATTCTTAACCTCTTTTATTCGTATTACTGGCAGGGCATCTACAGCTATAATGACGCCAAACAGTCAATTGAGGTTAGTTTCTACTTCATCGAAATGTGAGTTGAACTGATTGCGACACTCTATACTACTGATCTTTAGTGTGAAACATTTTCCCTGATCCTGTTCTGGAGTATTGTAGGTGGAGACGTTCTGCGTTCATGGGAGTCCAACGGGCTACATCACGGGAATTCGTGGCAGAGTTCAGTGCGTGACAGATAGAGAGCTTGCCAAACTCAAGCTTAGTGAGTTTGAAAGAATGCAGATGCTGCAACAAAAGTGCTACTTGCGCTTCCCCAATCTTCCATTCATTCCCAGACAGCCCTACAATGTGCTCGACACTGACTATGACAGTTACGCCCTTGTGTCAGGGGCCAAGGATGCTAGCTTCATACAGGTACTGCATTTGATTGAGCTTATTTTATTCCTCTGGATTAATCTGCATTTTCCTTCAAATGCACTTTTATTACGGTTCCAGACAGCAGAAATAGTGGGAATAGCATGACCCCCCGTTTTTATTAAGTATGTTGGTAATGTTTGATCTGTGAGCTGAGGGTGTTTGGATTTGTCAATAATCTAAATACATTTTCTCGTAACCAAATTCTGTATGGTTTGGTATCTGACAAAGAATTTTGGATTTTCTACAACAGATTTATTCTCGCACACCCAACCCAGGGCGGGACTTTATCGACACACAGAAGGCAGCCCTAGCCAAGTTGGGCTATAGTGATGACATAGTAGACACTCCTCAGGACTGCGAAGAGCAATCAGTAGAACAGCTGGAAGCCATGATGGCCAGTCCTGGCATGGAGAGCGTGCTGAACAATACCTTCGAGCCACTCAGGCTTAGCAAGGGGGTCCAGCTCAATCCCTTCACTAGCAATCTGGAGACCATCAAGAAACTGATTCAGCTCTACTTGCCGAAGTTCGGCAAATGATGTGTGGTAGACCCTATGTAGAAAACCATTCACTTGTTTCTGTTGCATAATTTTACTTTGATTTAACTGCGCCTACATGGTCCTCAATATCTTCTCTCACCAAGTACGTTAATTTTACTTTCTAACTGACACTAAAATGAACCGCATATTGTGTAATAACAATAAAATGTGAGTAAGTATACACAGCTTTTTGCTAAAACGAATCAAAGCTTCTTCTTACATTGCCAAGACCAATTACTTCAAATTCTAGACGTTTAATAACACATGAATAAGTAGTCACAATTGGGTACTGAAGCAGTCAGGGAAAATTCGAAAGAATATTGGAACGGGGTGATTTCTAAGGTTCTTTGGAGGGTCGGGGAGACCTTTTGTAAACACAGACAACTTCAGCTTCGAATGTTTTCTGCTTTTGAACCCATTTCCAATGTGTATGATCAATCCTCTTCCATTTTTAAGAATGCAAGTCAAATAGTTGGTATTGAATGCAAAATTAGTATATGATAGATGCTCGGGATTTTATATTCTTTTTCTTTTTAAATTATATATAGGGATTGAAACTCATGTTAATAGTCTAATTACGTTTGTGGTATTCCTGGATTTCTTGTTTGTATGCATGTATGTATATATATATATACATATATTATGTGTGTATATGAGTGTTTTAAAATTCAACAAACAATATTTTATCATCATGATTTGAACTTCAAATATTTATAATTATGGCTATTATTCAAATAATGGACTTGTTATTGTTACTTAACTTCTCTACTGTTATATGAACTTATTACTTTGCTATTTATGTTGTTTGGATATCTTTGATTTGTCTTCTATTGTTTGGACCTCATTGGTCTAAATCTTTTTATTAGGTTGGTTTTTTTAAATTGCCTTTACTTAACTAGACATGTTAATAAGTGATAGGTCTACAAGGTAGATGTTGCTGTTAGCATAGTTTGATTGCAAAGTGCAATATAATATTGGAAAATATCACAAAAATGCTAATCATCTTTCAAGACTATATATAACATTAAGTATCCAAGATATAGATGATAAACTTCTTAACATTCAAATATTTCATATTATGGTGGCACCTATATGATATGAATATATTTCAGATTTTCAAGTACTCAATAACTATCTAATATTTTTTTAAAATAAAAAATAAAAAATTATAATGAAAATATCCATTTTGCATTTATAATCAAAAAAATTCATCTACTTATTCCATTTGAAAAATAGGATATAAACTATATTGGATCTATTCATTCTACATCTTATTGTAGAATGTAATTTATTCTTGTAGCTACAAAACAATTATCTAAATAGACAAAAACCAAAGCAATGAAGATAAAAAAAATGCTAAAAAGATGCTAAATTTTTTTTTATATTCTCATATGAAAACATTATTGCTTAGTATGGTGGTCTAAAAATATTTATAAATATTAATATCATATATTTCTTAAATAGAGCTATTAAAGAAATTACCACATTATTTATAATCAATTATAAGAAGACAAATTCTTATCATACAAAAAAAAATAGTCTTTTAAAAAGGCTCAACTAAAATTTAGTTTTTATATTTAGAAAAATTGTGATGGATCTCAATTATAATTAGAAACTTAAACTTACATCTACTCTTTAGGCATATCAAACTACTTATAAGGTTTTTACAAGGAATGCACTATTTTCCTTGGTATTAGAAGTAAAAGCCCTTTTATTAACAAATTTTAAGTTTCAATTTTTTATATTAAGATTAAAAAAATATTAGATATTTTTTTGTTATCAAACATATATATATATATATATATATTGAAGGATTAAGTGAAAAACAAATATCAGCAATCCAACATATAGAAACTATTCAAAGAAGAAAAAATAAATCTTTAGATAAAAAGATTTTAAAAATGACTTCTTACTCCAAAGATACAGATCATAATCCATGATGCTAAAAAATCAAAATTTATAATAAAAGTTGGTGCTCTTTGGATTAAAGGAATCTTTAATAATGATTTAGTTTATGTCAAAACATTAGATAAAGAAGAATTTCCTATTCAAACTAATAGAAGTTGTTGTAAGAAGTATAAAATGTAAATGTTGGATATAATTTCAATATATTTACATTACCTTTCAATTGGCTTTAAGCCAATTCTAAATGATACTTCTACTCTTAGTACATTGTAAATATTTAAGTTCAAGGCTTAGATGTTGAGTACTGTGAAGTAGTCTTTTTTTAAAATCATTTTTATTTCTAATCTTGTTAGTAGAATTGTGCAAAGTTATTAAGGCATTATACATCAATAAGTCTTTAGTTTAAACCTTAATAGAAGAAGAAAAAAATTGATATTAAATTAATTTAATAGACTAAATAAGAAGACATGTTAAGTCAAAATTTAAAATATTGAATCTTTTTTGTTTTATAAATCATAATCTTAGAATCATTTTTCTTTCACTCTACTTCTTCCAAAAGAATAGAATGTCTTTTCAGAAATAAATTTTTAATTTGTTTTTTACAAACCATGTGATAAGCAAGAATAGACTTTACTTTATGTTTACAAATAATCCAAAATGGTCCAAGAGTTGTGCTTGTCTTTTCTTTCTTCTTTTTTTTCTTATTGACTGCGTTTCTTATTTCACACCACTTATTACAAAAAATTCTTGATCAAGGCCATCTTCTAATTAGATTAAGGGGATCAATTTGATCCTTGCACCCCCAAAATATCAACCTTAAAAAAATTAGTTTCCTAATGTTGAATTATTCATAAAATACTAGGCTGCCTACTACTATGTATCTTTTAAAACTGGAGTGTTAGGACCATAATGTTAATTTTTAATTTTTAATTTTTCCACCCAAACACTAATCAATGCATTGGGCAAATCTGGCTGTGTCAAAATAATTTAATAAATAGTGATGGGAACGCCACGGAGGCCACCCGACGGACGAGAAACGGGAACCAGGGCCAGAGGTATCGTCCCAACTTCGTCCAATTAGAGGACGACATCCGACGGTCGAGAAACAGGGACCAGGGCCAGAAGTCTCGTCCCAACTTCGTCCAAGAAGAGGACGACATCCGTCAGACGTCAGTCGGGAGGTGGGGAGGAATCGGCACGGAGGAGGCAGAGGAAGAAGAAGATGCGGCTCCGCACCCCAGACGGTGGGGAAGCGGGGCCGCCCCACTCGCATTTTGGATTTAGTTATTGTCGTTTTGCAAGCCCCTTCATCGTCGTCGTCTCCACCAGAAGACGTCACAGATCGCCACCGTGGTTTTCCCGATGTGCAGGCACCTCTCACACTGTAAGCAAGTGCGGTGAAAACACTCTTCCTTCTCATGTGGTGGGTGGAGCCCTTTCAAGCCTCACGCATTCTGGATTCGCTCCCGGCTTCGAATGCTTGAGGTATGGCGAAGTGCTAATTGTTTGCCATGGATTCCCGAGATGGGTGTCTGTGATGGGTGTCATGGTCGAGGGTGCAAAGTCTTGTTTTCTTTCCAAGACTTGTGTGAATTGCAGCCCTGTTGAGAATGTCTCTTGCGGGTCGTGTTTTTTAGGTCCGCGATGGGTTATGAACGTCTTGGTTGATTCTAGTTGGTGTCGATTCGATTGTTTGTCGCCATGGATTTCCATCGTGTGGATCACGTGGTTTGGATTCGGGTGGGAGCTAGTTGAGTGCATTCGGCACCCTGTGTGTGTTTGCCGCCTTTGAGTGCCGAAACCTTTACTTGTCCTCTTCGCTTGTTTGGAAATGCTTGTCATGTGGTGGATTCGTGTCGCATTTAGAAGGTTCGTTCGGTCTGTTTTCACGCTTCAAGCAACTTAGCGAGGTGCGCATTGTCTGTCACCAGCTCCAAAACTTTGACCGTGTGCTGGCGCTCGTTCATTGAAAAGATGGACTACTTTTTCTTGATGATTAAGACTTTGACAGATTACACTATCGAATGGAGAGAAAATGCAGTGGTTCTAAGTGATGAGATAGCGCCGTCTAGGGAGAATTTCGAATTTGCGCTAGAACATGGGTGGTTATTCCATCAGGTGTGCAATTTTTACATATGCCTGGTCACTAAGCTGTAGGGTTGAATCCTTGTTCCCTTGCATCATAGGTATATGCTGAATACACGTGACATTCGTGCAAGTTGTCATGTCTATTTCAGTCTGATATGCGGAGTAGTATGATTGGGTGCAGTGTGGCAGCGCCCACAGATATTGCAGTGAAAGGTTGAACACAACGACCCAAGGACAACCTGCACCTTCCAACAGGTAGAGTATCAAGAATGGCCTTATTAATTGAGCATTTAACTGTAGAATGCCCCCTGGTTTTTTTTATTAGTTATGATTATTTTGTATCCTCTTACGATCCAGCTCTGTGATTATTGTCTCTGCAGTCAGCGTGAGGTGAAAAGATAGGCCAGTTTTCAGCTGCACATAACCTTCACTTCTGCAGGTGCAGAACACGTGCGGTACTGAGCAATGGGGTCCTCTAAGGCAGAAGAGAATTTGGCCTTACGGCTGGGCCTCACTGCAGCGTCAGCCATGGCGTCGGAGTCTGTGACCTTCCCAATCGATATCACGAAAACCCGCCTGCAGCTCCAAGGCGAAATGGGTGCCACAGCTGGCGCACCCAAGCGAGGAGCGATCAGCATGGCGATCTCTATAGGCAAGGAGGAGGGCATTGCCGGTCTTTATAGGGGCCTTTCTCCGGCACTTTTGCGTCATGTATTTTACACAAGCATTCGTATTGTTGCGTATGAAAATCTACGTACCGCCCTCAGTCATGGCGAACACCCGGAAAATCTGTCCGTTGCAAAAAAGGCTTTCATCGGTGGCACTTCCGGTATTATTGGGCAGGTCCGTGTTCTTTTTCTTGATTATGAGTTTCCACGAGTTCTCAATAAAGGGGTACCTTCGGGGAGTTGTATTCTTACGTATTATGGAAGGTACACCACTTCCTATGCATGGCTACGATTCACCATTTTGAGAATGTAATTGTCAGAGTCCAAGTATCAAGTTCGTCGAAGTGAGTTGAGTAACAGGACCGAAAAGATTGTAGAAAAACAACCAGGGTGCACGAGAATGCTTGCAAGTCCTCCTTCATGCAAGAGTAGCTGCAGTCTGACGAGGTTGGTTGCAATCCTACCTGCACAGGTGATAGCGAGTCCAGCGGATTTGGTGAAGGTGCGCATGCAAGCGGATGGGAGGCTGGTGAAGCTTGGGCAGCAGCCACGCTACACCGGAGTAGCTGACGCATTCACCAAGATTGCCCGAGCCGAGGGTGTGACAGGGCTGTGGCGTGGAGTGGGACCCAATGCTCAACGTGCCTTCCTCGTCAACATGGGGGAGCTTGCATGCTACGACCAGTCGAAGCAATGGATCATAGGACGCGGCATTGCTGCCGACAACATCGGAGCTCACACGCTTGCATCAGTGATGTCTGGGTTATCAGCTACTATTCTGAGCTGCCCTGCCGATGTGGTGAAGACCCGGATGATGAACCAAGGCGCTGCAGGTGCCGTGTACCGCAACTCTCTGGATTGTCTCACCAAAACCGTGAAGGCTGAAGGCGTGATGGCGCTGTGGAAGGGCTTCTTCCCGACGTGGACAAGGCTGGGCCCTTGGCAATTCGTGTTTTGGGTCTCATATGAGCAGCTCCGCCGCATCAGCGGTCTATCATCCTTCTAATAAGTAAAGCCTCGCAGTTGTTTTGGGTGTGAAACTTACATGGCATTCAGCTCTTACAAAGATTTCACATGCTTGAAGATTTTGAGGTGCTGTTTTTTTTATCATTTTTGTTCCTTCTCTTTTCTGCCTCAATTGGATGTCATAGCTGAGGCTATGAAGCTTAGTTTCATTGACAAATGTTTACATTTGTTAGCAAATGTGTAGTAAGTGCCACTTGCTTCCAAAATGTAAGTTTCAGTCTAATTTGCTTGTCATTGTTAGCCGCAGAGTATGTGGATGTGGACAAAGAATGTCAATGAATGAGAGTATATAGTTTGGGTTGTAATCAAAATATGAGTGAGATTGAATCCTCAAATGATTTGGAATTATTTTGAAGTTTTATAATCTAAATTAAGTACTGAGTGCAAAAAAGAAATACATCAAAAGTATATTTTAATGTTCATCAAACTATAATATAATGATATCTATTGACTAATTTACAATAAATTAGTTATGTGCTTATAATATGTGAAAGTTTTGTAATAAGATAAGTATACAAGAAGTAAATGTAAAATGAATGTAAGTATATTATTGTATCCAAAGTGTGAAGCATTTTATGTTTCACAAAGGAAAGCATTAATAAGTTCAATTTATGTAGAGTCATGATTCTTAAGTTAACTAAGAAGTATAATAGTTAAGTTTGTAATTAAACTATGATAACATGTATTGATACATTTCTTTTAGTTGCATAAGTGAGAATAGAGTTGTAATTCTTGAATTGTATTTGGTTAAAAGTCTTTGATTTGGAAGTTTGATGTAGTATGTTGATTAGAAAATGTAAAACTTCTAAGAGAAGAATTTTAAAATTTGTTTCTTTGTTGCAAATAAAAAGAAGCAAGATTATTGATTCATTGTAAGCATGTTTGGTATTTTAGTTTAAAAAGTGATTTTGTCTAAAGATCAATCCTAATAGATGTTGAAGTAAATTTGAGTTTAGGTATTTTATAATTCACTTTTTCATATCAAAAGTGATATAAAGTTTAATGTATTTTGAATGGTCATAGAACTTGGAATTTTTATTAAGAACAATACATGATTAATTGTCATACCATAAAATATTTAGAAGTAAAAGAAAAAATCCAAACTCAATAATGATAATTTGTAGCCAAATGAATTCTTCAATTGCAACAGATGTAATAATATATTTTTTTATGTTGAAAATAAAGCTACAACATATTGATTTTAACTTTCTAAATATAGTAGGCATGATAAATTGAGTTTAAAAATATATCCTAAATCTGATATGCATATATCAATATTACCAATCTAGTTTGCATTACTCCATCCACATATTTGATATAAGGAAGTTTTTGAGAAAAATGATATTACAATAGGTGAGTTCTTATTAAGTGCTACAAACATAACAAAATATTTTTTTGATGTTGTTGTATTATAACAATACCATATAGTGAAAAAATAGAGAATAATATTTTTTAATTGATTTTTTATGTTTTAATTTAATAAGAATTTAAGACATTTAAAATAGCTTTTTATAAAAACCTCTTACTTATTGTCTTAATAGCTAATTAAGGAACAAAATTGATTATTAATTTTTCCTTCTTGATTACAAAAACAATTTTGCCACCTTAAAGAGACTATAGATTAATGAAAAAAAAGTGGATTAGATGAATAATTGATATGATTGACTATAGGATAAAATTTAGAAAAGAATTGTACTAAAATATTTCTAAAATATGTTGGATTGATACCACAGAGACAATTATTTGTGAGGTAGGATTGAAATCAAATCACCAACTATTAAATGGTTGCTTAAGATATGACAAAGAGACATTTAAAGATCAGCAAGTAGGATTAAAGTATCACGAATTTAGAATACTGACTGGAAATTTAAACAAGAAGCTCAAGAAGAATCGACAAGAACTAGATTAATCAAATGAGTACAAGAACAATACTAGAGAGGTGAGCTAGAGCTCCAAGAGGTGTATTGTTGAGACTGAGGATCTCCTCAGTCTCGGCTCCTATATATACTACAAGCTAGGAAGCTTCTCAAGTAGCTTCCATAAACTAGGAAGCTTCTCAAGTAGCTTCCACAAGCTTGAAAACTTCTCAAGTAGCTTCCACAAGCTTGAAAACTTCTCAAGTAGCTTCTACAAACTACAAAGCTTCTCTAGAACCTTCTAAAATCTTCTACAACTTCCTAGTGTATGCCTTTGACATCACCTCCCCCCCCCCTTTAGCTTCGAGGTCTCCGAGAAGCACTCCTATTGCGAGTCAGTATCAATGTAAGAAGTAGAAAATTTGTCGCATAGTGTCTGTAATATACTCCAATTATTGTTTCTGTGGCAAGTAGTTCATTGGTCCTTGTAACCAATGATAGTATCTTATGCCTTCGATTTTTGACCAAGCATGAACTTCCGTGTCTTCATTGTGAAAATGCCCTGCAAACACTCCTTCGAGAAGATCACTATAAGTAGGTTCTACCTCAAACACAATCACTAGCGACCTGTTACTAGGTATCTTCCATCGTCTTTGTGGTACAGGCGGTTCTTCATCTCGAGGTCATCTTCGTGAGATACTCGATTGACGGGACATGATTGGTATGGTATCTATCTCTTGGTTATCCATATCAGACCGAAAAAATAAGCACTAAATATGGAAGAATGGGCTCAAGTTACAAATTTATAATCTCTGACTATGTCTTTTAGAGGTTCCTTCTCTCTCTTCTTTATAAGGCCGAGGATTAAGAGGCTTCAAAGAGAAGGGACTTCACTGAAAAACTTTCATCGAAAGGGCTTAGGTTTCTGAGGATGGTGTCGATGAAACTCTTATACTTTTTGCAATGCATTGATAAGATTTTTCATTGCTTCCCATGTGCGCTCATTGATATCATAGCCGCTCTAATGCACTAGGTACTCTAATTTTTTCCACTTAGGCTGCAAATCTAGTACCTTTTCCACCTCGTATTCCTCGTGGTTCTCAATTTTAATACTAAATGGCGGACATTATACTCTTCTAGAAAAAGACGACTCTCAATAAGGCTCCAACAAAGAAACATGAAAGTCTAGGTGTACCTTCATGGCAGCCGGTAATCCCAAACGGTATGCCACTGGATTGATTTGCTTCTAGATGACAAATGGTCCCAATCTCCGGTAGTCCAACTTATCACATCGTTGCTTGGTTTTGATATTCCGTCGATGCAGCCATACTTTAACTCCAATTTTGAAAATAGGTGTTTGATTTTGAAATTTTTTTGCGGATGCCTTGTAAGCTTTTTGGACGGTTTGCAATTGAAGCTTCAACGTAGTTTGAAGCTCCGATAGTTGTTTCACAAATTCTTCAACTACCGAGTTGTTATTAGTTGACGGACTCAACAAATCAAGCTTTGGATAATACCCATAGTTGACAAAGAATGGTGTTTGTTGAGGCGACGCATGAAGGGTGTTGTTATATGCAAACTCGACTAACGATAGATATGCAGTCGAATCATCTTACTGATAGTTGATGCTACATTGTAAATACTGTTCCAAAGTTTGATTCACCCATTCTGTTTGGCTATCAGTTTGAAGATGGAAATTCGAAGAAAGCTTGATATCGACCTTCAATATCTCAAAGAGAGATCTCTAGAACTTTGATACGAATTGGGTTCCTCAATCCGACATGATATCATTTGATAAACCATGATATCGATACACACTATCAAAGAAGAGCCTTGTTGTGTCTTTGATTGATGATGTGTTTTTGTAAGGGACTAAGTGTGCCATGTTTGTAAGCCGATCTAATACAACAAAGATACTGTCAAATGAATTTGATGGCAGCATGTCCGTAATGAAGTCCATAGAAACTGAAGACCATGGCCGATGTGGAATATGCAATGGCTCAAGAAGACTATAAAGACAATCCCGAGGATTCTTAAATCTTGGACAAATGTCACATGAGAGGACAAAATCCTTGACATCCTTTCACATTTGGAGCCACCAAAAATTTCAGGAAATAAGTTCCAAGGTCTTATTGAATCTAAAATGCCCCACAGTTAGAAAGTCGTGTCGAGATTGAAGAACTCGGAGTCGTGTTGGTCCCTTTGAAATATACAACTACTCTTCAAAGTATAAAAGATCTCATTCCACCTTGAACTTGTCATTATTGACATGCTGCGTGATATCGAGGGCTACAAAATCTCCAATAGTCACAGTACATACCTGATTGAGGAAGTCAGCATCAATTGGCACTATAGCAGAGCAAAGCCTGAATTGTTCCAACTTCAGCAATGTTGTACACTGTTGATCAAACGCTGCTTCTCCAACCTTTGGCACTAGATACGATCTCCTTGATAATGCATCGAATAGTCTTTGTTGCTTCCCAAGTCAATAAGTAATAACAAAGTCAAACTTGGATAGCAACATATTCCATCGAGCTTGACGACAATTCAAAACTTGAGCCGACATGAAGTACTCCAAATTCTTGTGATCTGTGTATATGATCATCAGATGCGCAGTTCTTTCAAAAAGAATCCACTATTGCAAAGAAGTTCTTTATTGTGGATTTCATAGTTGGTCTTGATAGCAAAAAACTTTTGAGAGTAGAACGCAACCGAATGAAACTTCTCGTCTGCGCCTATCTATGAAAGTATAGCTCTCATAGCAAAATTTGAAGCATTGATCTCCAAATAGAAGGCCTTTGTAAAGTCAAGATGTACCAAGTTTGGAGCCATATTAAATGTCGTCTTAAGATCTTAAAATGCTTTTTCTACTAGAAGTTCCCATTCGAGCTTGTCTTTACATGTCAATCGAATGAGCGGAGCAACAACTTGAGAATAATTTTTGATGAAGATCCTATAGAAGTTAGCAAAGCTAAGAAAGCATTGTACATCTCTAATCGTCTTTGGAACTTCCCATGATATGATTGCTTCTACTCTCTTAGGATCCATCTTCAAGCCTTCTGTAGTTGCAATGAATCCCAAAAATTCCATCTCAATTTGGTTAAATAAGTACTTCTCCAACTTGGCATAAAGTCCTCGCTTGCGGAGTTTTTCAAGGACCAGACAAACATGTTTCTCATGCTCTTCTACATTCTTAGAAAATATCAAAATATCATCTAGATAGATGACAACAAAATCGTCAAGGTGCTTCCAAAAGATGTCATTCATCATGTGTTGAAAGTCCGCCAAAGCATTAGTAAGACCAAAAGGCATGACATTATATTCAAAATGGCCATAACTTGTACTGAAAGCTGTCTTCCATTCATCTCCTTCCTTGAT